GTATTGTATACTCCATCTCTTTAATGGAAATTTTACCCATGAGGTCCAGTAGATACTCTCTAGGGCAGCCGCTGGAGCTACTGAGACTTGTCCCATTTATAAAATGGTTGGCTCACCAAACCCATGCATATGTTGCCATAGCCTCGAATTGAGACAATCGAGAGAAACCTTGCCAAAAGTTCAGATATGTAACAAATGTAAAAAAATAAAAAAATATAAAAATAAAAACTCTCAGACGGAAAATCGAACCCCGGTTATTCGCAAGTACATAACAGTACGAACACCAAAACATTAGCAAACAGAAATCTTGACAACTGGAGTATCGCAATACACATGGGCTGGGAATGAGACGACACAGTTCTGTTAGCCTCGAGCGTTGCAATTTCAAAAATGTGCTTTCTTTGCACAGCTTGGTTACGAGAACGCAACCCGGCCCCGCGGAACAACCTCAAGTTTGGTTCCTAGCTTAGGCATATAGCTAACAAAAATGCACAGAACAGTTTCGTAACCTCCTCCCAAAAAGTCATCAAAATTATGGATGAATCGATATATTAATAGTGCATCCTGTTCAAGACAACTCCCACACGCCACGAGCAGAGATCGAGCTGATTGCCGTCAAAAAGCTTACATACGGCTACACTAAGTTCTATTCCGTCCTTGGCCCCTTTGTCCTAGTGGATCTCTTTCCTTTCTTTTTTTTCCCCTTCAATAACAATCAAAAACTGAGCGGCCAAGTGCAGGCGAATTGACGTACTCGGAGTTGAAACGATCTCTGATTGAAGTGCCCATAGCTTTGGTAAGAGGGTGGCATCGGGGTCCATTGTCCTTGTCGTTGAGATAACGCAAACCGGAGATGGCAGTGACGTCCAGGGTAGAGATATTTGCATGTTCGTAAGGGGGTAGAACATTTCTTGTACCGGGGTTCTCAAGGAGAAGGACTGAAATTTCAGGTATTCTGATGAAGGTTGCATCGAAGCCATTCTGCGCAGTCGACTAGCCCCTGCGCATTATTATGGGACCGTAAAAAAAGACCAAACGCTTAAGGAAGCTGGAGTCCTCGATTTTTATGAGAATATTTCGCAATCTGCCCAAATAATCAAATCATTAGAATAGAAATGGCTTGCCCCATCGACGGGAATATGGGTTATTCATTGTTTTCCTTACTCCGTGCCCAGGCTGGTGAGCTAAAGATTGACCCCGCGCGCTGTATTGTGTGCAGTTGTGACGAGGCACTGAAAGAGAGAAAACAACTGCTGCAATCCTTCCATCAAGACCGAGCCTGTATCTCTAAGGTGCTAGCTAGCTATAGCACGATTGCCAAAGGATATAAACGCATAGTAACGTCCTATAATTCATCAAACTTCTGTAAAACTATATACGTACTTGAGAAACGTACTTGAGAAACGTACTTGAGAAACGAATATTCTTGCAATTTCGAGCCAAAAGAATTAATACTTTAAGGTTGGTAGTAAAATTGGTGGTAGGAGTAGTGATAAGAGTGATGGGGTGGTAGGAGCTAGTGACGGTAGTAGCATTGCTAATGCAGTCGAGGTTGAGTGTCGCTGCAGGCGCGCAGCTCTAACAATTTATTTAAATATGTAAGCTAATACATGGGGAGAGCTGCTTTTGGTTTCATTGTGGTAAACCACAATTACTTATCCTCTTCGCCACGTAAAGGCAGCAGCTTATCGAAGAGGTCCACCCCCATTGTTTTGGCTAAAGGGGTGGAGAGTAGTTTAACGTCTGGCTCACGATCGTTTGGGTCCGATCGTCGGGGCCTAGCCCCGGCCGCTTCCGAATCTATTTCAACAGTGAGATAGAAGTTTTTGTTAAGCCAAAAGGCTATCCGCGTTGTCTATACCTGAACTGATCTCCACTATATGCCTGACACTCCCCCCTGGAGAGGTGTTCAGGTGTTCAGGTGTTTATACGAGTGTAGAGCCTAGTCTCCACTATATGCCTGACAGTTTTTTGAAGTAAATCCAGATATTGATTTTCATCACAAATTACTTCCTTGTGCTTTTCTGTTGTCCCTATATGTATTTACTCCGTATTAATATAATAAAGAATCAAAATAGTCAAGATAATATCAACTTACGAGCGCCAATAAGCTCTTGCACCGAGAATTAAGGCGATAGCTAAAGCCGGTTAACTTGCCAAAATAGAGTTCGCCTATCAACACGAGCTATAAAAGCCCGCACAGACCGAAACGAAACCATCGCTGCTGAAAAAGCCTGGAGAGTTGCAGGAGGGTTGGAAATAGTGTTTGATGGGTAGCTAGGAGTCCACTTCTGTTAGAACGAAGAGAACTAGAACAGAAAAGAAACGAGAGCAGAAAAGGACAGACCCTTCACTTTATATACTGTCAATTCATTCATATTCACTAATTTATATATTGCTCGGATTTCAGATTTTGCGATGATTCATTGATCTTGTCAGATCGTAATCTGTGCGAGAATTCACATACAAACTTTTAATTATGAAATGATTGTAGATCAGAGTGAATAGAGTGAATCTGGTGTTCGGTCTGCTTTTAGTTCCGCATAAAGTTCTAATTAATGCATATATAAATATGTAAATTATGCACTCTGCCGCAAGCAGCGGGTGAACGAGACCAGCTCTGTCTAAAATTTGGACAATACAAGAGTTAGAATTTGAAAGCTTTCTGCGAAAGGTATGGGATGCCAGTGTTTCCGAATCCTCGCGCGGTGAATGTAGGAAACCGAAACTCTACAACGAGTCCTCCTCGATATAGGTCTTCTTATGCACAACGAGATGGCGAAGGGATTTGTATCTACTATCATTATTTTATTAATCAATCGCACCAACAGCATTTTGCTTTCTGAATATGGGGCTAATTAGATCGATATACTATCGTAAGCTAGTTTGTAAAGCGTTTTAAAAGGGCCTAAGATTAGGTTTATGTTGGTTCACGAGACCATTTTATTTATATCTACTTTCATAAGTGCCTAGGGCTTTATGGAAGGGAATTATATTATTATTCGAGTCAAAGTTATAATTCTTTTATGAAGTCTAACAAATAAACATTAAAAATATGTTATAATCTAACTCTTTGAAGCTCCGGCTGCCTTCTTCTCAAGAAAATGCTGTTTAGCTGTTGGGTGGTCCATACAATCTTTACAATTGCACCAATTACTCGGCCAAGCTTCCTCAATAGGCGAGCCTTTAAAATCGGTTACAACTCGCATACTTGTTCTAAATATTATATAAGTCACGATGACTTAATAAAATATAAAACATAATCAGTATTAACACTTTTTGGGCATTAATTGTTTTTTTTTGGAGTTCACACGAGTTGATAGGCTGAAAAGTCGGGGGATTTACCTTCGCCGATTCGAGTAGCGGCGCCTTTGACGGATGGTGGGACGGAGCCCACGGTTTTGTTTGTCAATGAGGCAATGTAACGAAGCATGATTCTTGATCGTTTTCTTCAAATTTCCGATATTGGGTTCTGTATGGTCTCGACGCGGTAGTTCTTTATATAATTGACGATTGTATGTATGTTTGGCAGAAGACTTGAGCTTTAGAGCCCTTGTTCGGTTGATCGGATGCAGCGAATCGACGCTATGTTCAGCATCACGGAGGGTGAAAAAATTAAGAGTAGATCGGAATTTAATTATTTTGTGAACCAAATGCTGCTGCGGATGAATATAGAGGTATGCTCAACCTTTGATGGGAGGCTTGAAAGGTAAACGTACGAGGAAAGTCAGACCACGGGGCCTCAATCTATACAGGCAATTATATGACTGTTGCGTTGTTTACAGCTAATCGACCGCTGTCAAACACACTCTAATATTGATCGAATATAGGCTCAGTGAAAGCGTATATAAATACCTCAGCTGATCAGGTATGCATATAGCCGTTGGTGTTTAGGCCAGACCAGCGGCCAAAATAGTAATGCGCATAAGAGTCAAAATCCTACATCTTTAAGACGTATCGCTTTGCAAATTTATCATATTTATGCGGTAAAGTAACTGCCGGCCCATTTACTAGTAGGCATAGGCGTAGGGGCTCTTAGCAAGTGGCGTTATATTAGATTGGATGTTGTGGTCAGCCAGCCGGGAATTAAACATGGTGGTGTTATACAATACGACCACCGTAGACGGCATAAACTTGAACATATCAGTTTACTTAAGAAGCCACCTGTGGTTCCGCTTAGCACTTTAGCAAAACTCAGAGTAATACATGAATTATAACATTGGATAAAAGTTCGATACCCGAGATTCTAAAAGCAAAATCAGTAAAAAAGCGGGAAAAGGTGAGATAAAAATGCTCATGTCAATACATCTCAAACGACAAGTTATATTCGATAACATATGAATATTAGTTACCCCACAGCTGCACAGATAGTAACAATAGATAAAGGCTAGATCATCCGCAGCAGCATTTGGTTTACTAGATAAGGCTGATCTAGCGGATAAAGCTAGATACCACTAAGCCTTCCCTGCGCGGGTGATCGTACGGACCTCACAATACGCTCAAGATACCAAATGTCAAGATATATTAAATGAATGAAATATTAAACAGGTCCAAACAACACCGTGTTATCTGGCACCGCGAGACCAGGTATCTGTATTTAAACAGAAAGTAGCATAAAGCTTAAAGCAACGAAACAAACAGTTTACTATTATAAGACATTTTATTCTCACAAAAATTAATTTTGGTCCCATAATCAAACAAGATTGCGAAACCATTTTATGCATTTTTACTAGTCTCGGTCCCAGACGCTGTTGACCACAACTGTGCATTTTTACTAGCTAGATTGCCAGGAATCTAAACCTTTGTGCAGCGTCTGATTTACGGGACCACGGGAAACCAAACTTAAGGTGGGTCCCCTCGTTCGAACATTCGAAATAACACGCTTTTGTTGTTATCCAACACACTAAACCCATAGCCTCGAATCCAGGCGCTCGAGGGAGATCTTGCCAAGAGTTCAGATGTGTGACGAGTGCAAAAAGATAAAAAGTACAAAAAAGAAACTCTCAGACGGGGAATCGAACCCCGGTCGTCCGCGAGCACGCAACAGTACAAAGACTGAAACATTGACAGGCGGAAATCTTGACCACTGGACCATCTGAGAATGCGCTTTTTGTTTGAAAAACTTCATTTAAGTACATTTTAAACATTAAATTCATTTAAGCAGTTTATTTTGATTTTAAGATTTTATTTATATCCTAATCTTATATTTCTTTTTGGATAGTAGGTACCTATATAGTGGCCAACTTTATAACACAATATATCAGTACTCATCGAAACTTACCTAGTTACCCCGAAATAAGCCTCCATGGATTTAATTAAGCGTGTGCGCATACGAATAAAGACTACATAACTACCTCCTAGGTATGTGGATGCCCATATAAGTAGGTAGATAAAATCCTTTAGTGCCTAGGTATACAACCGATATAAAATATATACCCGAGTTGGTTGAGGTACCAGTTGCATACCTAGTACGTGCAACAGCCCTCAGACTAGCTTTGTGCATAAGCACCTAGCCAGCTGGCATACTCCATGTTTATAAGCTATATAAGTAACTATATATGCTTAAGCATTTATTTGCGTACTTGAGCAAGCGGTCGGGGTACGAGACTAGTAAGTACCTAGTTCAGCACCCAAGTAAATCATTTACTATCCGAATATCGCGATAAGACAATACGCGTGCCCGCATCGGTCTGCCTATGTGACTGAGTAGCTATATACCTGTGGCTAAAGATATTTGTAAGTACCTAGTACCTACTACGCGTATATGTGGCTGCGATGTTCAATATCTTGAGTGAGTTTGGCACTGCATAGATCGTGCCCGGGGTCGCCTTAAACATACGTTGGCACCATCAGCATTAATGGAACTGCACGTTATGGTACCGAGTGGGACCTTAGTCAGCACTCGCCTGGCTCTTAGAATAGCCTAGGTACGTTAAGTTAAGGAAGCTGGTGACGAGACAAAGGTAGAAAGTAGGTACGTACGCATAAAACTTGAGAACGAGAGCTGACAAGGCTGCCTATAAAAGCTGAGCACTGCCCTCCCCTTTCTCTTTCTTTTCTCCTTCCTTCCGCCTTCTACCTTTCCTTCCTCTACATTCTTCTTCACCTCTTCTAGCTCCTCAGCAGCGAAGCGTAAAAATACGAGACTACTCCCCTCCGCCATACTCTTGCATCTTGCTCTGTCATAGACATAGCGTCATATAGCAATAAAAGGATCGCCTTATCAAGGATACGGTACAAATGTCAGTCATCACAGCCGCCTCAGCCCATCAAGAGCCAGCAATAAACTCTGTCGCTTTGATCGTGTTAACCCAATGCTGACATGATATCTAAGAGAAAGTCCCACACCTAAGCCCTAGGCTCCGAGCTCAGAGGCTTCAACACACTGCTTCTGGAAGCCCCAATGTACAACTTACAGTAAAAACTCTCAACTACAATAACCCGACAACGATTTTGTATTTTCGGTCTGAAACTTGAACAGGCTGGTGGTAGGTAAATCTATTGCACATACCTCACTAATCTATTGCCTAAAAATATATTATACACTTTAGCATAAGACTCCCTCATCAACTTATTCGTCCATAGTTTTGTGTTTACGGGCGCTATTCGAGCTTTACGGACAATGTGGCTGACCAATCGAAGGTTTCAAAGATGTCTAATGCTACGGATAACCCAAATAGACCTTCGATGCCTACGGAGAACAACCGAGGGGAGCTCTCCGCTCATCAAGCTAGTGAGGCTAACGATAGTCAGGCTCCACAACCGGAAGCCGTTTCGTCAAATTCAAATATTTTCGAAGAAACATATTCAGATGGCCATCCTTGATGAAGAAAGTGTCGAAATGACGACTCTTCGTGGCTCAGGAAAGTTACTGAGATCCGGGCGGCTGGCTTACTCCATCGAAAAAGGGGGCGACCCAAGATCAAGCGCCAGAGTTCGGGTGGTGTTTCCTGCATGTTCGATCAAGGGATACGAAAGAGATGGTAACGGAATCACGTTAAAGTTCAAGAAGATTCTTATAGACATCACCTACCCCCCCAGATTGGCCCAAGATGAATGTAAAGACCTTTTTGTGGCTATTAAAAAGTGCGCGGCACCTGAGATCACACTGCTGTATGGCGATATTGGGGAAATCAATCTTAACAAACTGGATACATTTTTTGAGAAAATGCTAGCCGACGAGACGTTCGCAGTCCCGGAAAACCCCCTCGGGCTGTTGGGCATCTTTGTACACCACCACATCGACTATGTTCAGATCCAATGTCAAAGTATACTGAGAGAGATCAACAAGAAGACGTCAAATACGGAGTCTACGTTCGGAGGCCAGCTCGAGGGCGTCAAAATTCAGTCTGAAGATCAGGACGAGAAAGTCGTAATCATTCAGCATACCACAGAATGTCAGCAAGCAATCACTTATACCAGGGTTGACGATAGCCAAAGTTTCATTCTTCATTTCCCCGGAGAAACAAAATTAGAAGCAAAATGGCCCGATAACTACATGGAAGACTACATTACCTCGCGAGTTTTTAAATTAGCCCTCCCTGGAATTACAGATCGTCATAGGACCGCGATCAGAGATTCAAATAAGACGAGCATGGGAGATTTCGAGTCGCAGTTTCGGTAAGAATCGAACTACTGCCTTCAAGATATGTTTCTTATATTGATTTTGAAATATAATATATGAATTTAGGTTGGAAGCAACTCTAAATAGAACAAAGTTAGCTAGGTGTAAAAGAATTTTGAGAAATGTTGTTGGATACTATCGTACAGGCGATGGGTTCTCTATTGCCCTAATATTCTATTCACACATCGACCATATCCCAGGAACAGAAATTGATTCAACCGTCGCCGAGATTCTCGAAGGCTTGCCCTTAAACCGGCTGCAAAAAGTAGCTGCACTGTGCAAGCAGGGATAACTGTCCTTCAGGATCGCTTTGATAACGGGCGCTGCAGGCACAGGCAAGACATTCACCGCCGCCATGGTGGTCAAAGCTGTACTCGCCTCAGCGAGTTACAATCGAATCATTGTTTGTGCTGAACAAAATACCGCCCTGGAGCGGATCTTCGAGTTTGTTATGGATGTGCTTGACGCAACAACCACAAAGGTTCTCTACCTCCAAGGTAGAAAACTCGAGCGCTCAAAAAATTCACGGCTTCGAGATCTCGTAAGACAGCATAGAATAAAAGGCTACTTGGACAGATTGAAGGATCATCCCGACTCTGTTACTTCCAAAAAATAATTGATAATCGGAGAGAAGGATATCATTTTCGCAACTCTTGATATGATTCAGCGAGAGCTAGAGAGTACCATGTTCCCCGCCAATTTCGTTCTACTCGATGAAGCCGCTTCAACCTCCGAGTTAGATACATTAATTCCGATTACTAAGTTCAACAAGACCCTCGCCCGGCTCGTTCTCGTCGGAGACCCCCTACAACTCCAGCCATTCTCACCGGCGACCGACCCAATAACGCGGTGTAGTTTATTTCTACACTGCCAAATCTCAGGATGGCCTATCGCGCGACTAATAGACAACTATCGAATGCATACCAAAGCAGCCGCGCCAATCCGTAATATATTCTACAATTCCGATTCAATGATGTTCTGGGGGTTGATGCGCCACTCTAACACCAACACTTTCTACTTCCAGAGCACTGACTCTGCTAAGTTGATGGCATAAGATACCGTTCGAAGCCTTGACTAACGCTTCCGGAGTTGTCTTCGCTATGACGTTGACCTTGGTTTGCGCGCTCTGTGATTGAGAATTTTCGCCTCTGGAACCTTTGCAATGAGACGAGAAGAGGCGGTTCGCCGCGACTACGAGGTTTCCGATGCCGATGTCAACGCCGTTGTGCTGGAGTTCAGTTACCTTGGTTTGAATCTCCGAACCGAGAGAACTGGATTGCGAGCCGATATAACCGAGCTACAGACCCGAGACATCCAAAAGCAAACCGAAATAGATTCACTCTGAACCCGAGACACCCAAAAGCAAACCAAAATAGATTCACTCTGAACTGAGGGGACCGGATTGCAAACTAAATTGGTTGAGTGAATCTATTTTGGTTTGTTTTTGGGTGTCTTGGGTTCGGAGTGAATCTATTTCGGTTTGCTTTTGAGTGTCTCGGGTCTGTAGTTTGGTCACATTGGCTTCCAATCCTGCCATTTTCGTCGCCAGCCCCTCTAACTGCTCCTTGAAGTGATCAGCTACGGCTTCTTCGGCCCGGGTGGTTTTCGTTCGCGTAACAGCATCGCTAAATAGGCCAAACTGGGGATTTCTAGCCTCGTATGTTCTGTCAGGCATATAGTGGAGATCAGTTCAGGTATAGATAACGCGGACAGCCTTTTGGCTTAAAATGTTCTAAGCGACTCGCTCGAGTTGATGGGTCGGGGGTAGATTTTGTAATTCGCGTGTCCACACCTAGCTACACCGCATCCCAGAAGGTCTTTTACCGTAGCCTCGCTGTGGGTTGGATGCGAATTAAGGGACTGCAGTTGGTGTCTCTTAGCACACAACGCTCCATATTCGCTTCCGGCTTCAGGCTCTCTGTTGTCGGCATCCATCTGTTAACCACCAATAATAAATGTCAGCGACGATGAAGGCACGCGCGAGCGGGGGGATGATGTGCATTACCTTTCAGCAAAAATGCTATATATAGGCACCAGCCCAAGTTGCAGCTAGAGCATGTCTATATCGGATGTTAGTGTTATTTCCAGACAGCCTGAATGGTAACTTCATGCCGAAGTTGAATGGACAGGCACCTACCAAGTAACGTTATGACCCGGTCGACGATATCCAGAACAGGGCTGGGCGATGTTGGAAGTTTTTAACGGCAGTTGTTTGTGGACAATAGTAGTTAGGAGTCTCTTGCAGGTTTGCTGAACGTACGAAGTGCAGGAGAGGGATGTGATCTGAGGAGAGAAAAAGAGAAGGAAGATCGAAATCGAGTATCGGAAATCTGGCTCAGTTAAAGAGGCGGGTCTGCGGGTCCTACAACACAGCGTTGTGTTGTGTTGTGTTGAAAATAACGGCCTAAGTCAGTAGCCTAACTACCTTCCAACTTTGTGTTGTCTGGTTCCAACGAGACCATAACTACCCCCTCAAC